AATAATCCCCCCGCACCTCTCCAAACCCCACCCCCTACCCCCAAATATAATCCACTCTGCAACCCTCATTGCATACTCCTACGATAAAAATAATTTTTTTAACATGAGAACATAAGCATTTTCTCTAGTATTGTCATGTATTCTTTTAAAGATATGTCTTTTTTTAATTGATGATTAAAAAGTAACAAAAGAGTTAATTCCTTAGGATTTCTCTTCCTGGCATGCAATTTCTCTCAAAGAATTTGGAGTATTTATAAGGTGTCACACAGTGACCAGGTTACTCAGTTTGTTCAAATTTGTCTTTGGAACGATGACTAGCTCATTGTTTCGTGTTTAAAAACATGAATAAATTCTGCATACCTGGAGATACTGCCTTGGCCTGCATCAGTATTTATTTAGGTTGAAAACGCTGGAAGCACACAGCTGGACATTACAACACATGTTTTCTTGAATAATACAGAAATCCCTTATCAATTTCATTGATTGCACAATTTGTCATTTATTTTATAGCTAAATTATTTTATTAGGAAACATTGAATGGACTTTTAAGCTTGAATATTTTCCCCTAAGATATTTCCACTGGTCTTGTTCTCATTTTATTTGATGATTTTCTTTGATTTTTACAACTAATATTTCTGCAAGAGAGAACATGAACTTGTTGGTATCTTGAAGTTCATTCTTAACATATTTATCAGTGATATATTTTTTCCCCCCCACAGCATTATCCTGTAGCCTGGGTAAATACAATGATCTTTGACTTCAAAGGTCAGTTGAGATCTGGGGACATAATATTGCACAGCTGGTCTTCATTTCCAGGTAAGATTTATACTGGACTCCTCAGTGCTAACCAGTAAGTTTGCCAATATTGATTACTTAATGCTTCTCTGTGGCTCCCAGAGAAGCATTTCTTAGCCAGTTTTGTTAGTATTATTTTAACTTGGGAGAAAGATAAATAACTTACCCCCAAGCAGCTTCTGAAAACCCACTAGAGGGTCATCAGCTGTGAGTTGGTTCTGAGTTCCCAACAGAAAGTTTTATTATTTTAGTGATGAATAAAATTCATATTTCAATTTTGTGTCAAGCATTTACAAAATTAAACTTTACTCATATAATTCTTTGTCAGACTTTAAAATTACATTTTTAAAGTATTTTCTTTAACGCAAAACTTGGCTTGAGTTGGGAAGCATTTTCTTAAGAGACAAAATCATTTGCGTATTTTAGATGAACTTGAAGAAATGTTGAATCCAATGGGAACCGTTCAGACAAATCCGTACACTGAAAATGCAACAGCTTTACACATTCAGTTTCCAGAGAACAAAAAGCAACCTTATTACTACCCTCCTTTCGATAAGGTAAGCCAGCCATTTAAAAGTTCATTCAGCAGGAAGTAATGGGATTCTTGGTTCCTGACTTTATGTGTTCAGAGTGTGAGCTCCTGACGCCTCGTTTCCCTTGATAGCTTGGATTGGTGACCATCCACCGAGCAAGGAGCTAAAGACTCCCTTTCCTTGTGGCATTATCATTGACTGTGGTATTTTTATCAATTATCCAGACCATTCTCTGAGGTCCTTTTCAACTTCTAGAGCATAATTATGCTTCTGTTAAAGTTTGGTAAAGAACAAATTATTTGTGTGGAAAATTGCCAGGGCTAGAACTTTCCAAGTTACTATTTTTCTAAAACTTCTAGGAAGGATTTCTGTTTGGAATGTTTCTGAAGTTTAGCTACATATGTAAAGGACAGGAGTCTATGGTGGTGGGTGCTGAGGCTGGTCCTTTGCTAGTTTACATGCCCAGAGCTGGGAACTTCTGTGCTGTCCTCACATTTACTCCCCTGTCTCCTGCATGAGGGGTGCTGATTTTTAAAATAAGAGACTTTAAAGCAAATTCTCAAAAAATAAACACCCAGTTTCTTATTTCCTTAATCCATTTAAGAACAAGCCACTTTAAAAAATTGTACTAAAAAAAAATTTAAAAAAAAATTGTACTAAATAAGGTTTTCATTAACCCACTTACAGGATTAATTATGTTACAATGTTCAGGACCACCAGACCTCAGTAGCATATATGTTTTTAAATAGTATGTGAATTAATTTTGTATAGCCCCATATTTCTGTCCTCACTGTCATTTTATCCTGTCAGTAAATAAATTTTCGTTTCCATCTCTTAGTGTTTTTCTGATTAATAATATCCAACTAAATTATGTTTTTGGCCTGTTACACTAGAATTCCCAAGTAAGCCACTGAGCATATGGCCAATAGGAAGATGCACAGTTTGCCTCATTCATCACGTCTAGTTATTCTTTAGATTGTTTATCCATATGGAGTTGCTACTTGAGATACATTTAATTGTATAGGCTTCGGCATTTGCTGCACAGGCATATATCATGTACCTCATAGCTGACCCTCCAGCGGGTTTTCAGAGGCAGTAATTGCACAGGAAGGAAATTGCCTATCTTTTTCCCCACAGAGTAGCTGGTGGATCCGAACCGCATATCTTTCGGTTGCCAGTGCCGCTGCAGAATTCCTAACTACTAACCCAGCAGCACTTCCTGGTTATGTCCCTGGCTGTAAAAATCGGGGTATCTAACTATGTAATCAGTCATTGTTTTATTTGGGTTAAGTGTGATGCTTTTTAAACAGTTTCAGAAATGTAACATTGTGTGCAAATAGAAGTATTTTTGATACTTTAAGAGAAGTTGAATTTCTTTAAAATACTCAATTTCAGCATTGTTCTAATTATCCACAACTAGCCACTTAGATTCCTCATAACATAAGACAGACAGATAGCTATCTTGGAATGTAATAGCTTGATAGAGAGACTTTGTGTGTGTGTTTTAATATAAATCTAGGGAGGGAGCTCTAGTGCCTGAGTGGTAAGGAATTACAATCTAAACCCAAAGATAAGCAGTTCAAAACCACCATGAGAGAAGGTGGGACATTCTCCTCCCATCTGATTTACAGCTTCTGATAACCCACTGCAGGGTCATTTCCAGTGCCATGGTACATAACAATAAGAGAAAGACACTTGTTGTTACTGATTTTCTTTGTACGCATTGTAAAAGTTATGTATGGTCATTGTGAAAAAGAAAAAAATACTGCCTACATGAGAAGTGAAAATTCCAACACTAGTGTTTTTATTTAATTTCCTATTTGTTGCTGTAGTCACTTATGTATTTTAGCTTTTGAGTCCATTTATAGTTAACTGCTTAACTATTTGTTGCTTTAGTCACATATATTTTAGCTTTAGAGCCAATTTATGGTTAACTGCTTAATTTAATAACCATGTTTGAGTATAGCACAATAACTGAAGTAGGAAGAGTGTTATCACCACATGGGATTATGTATGTCAACAGCAGGACATCGATTCTATTATACATTGTTCTTTCATTGAACCAAGGAGTCCACACCTTTTCAAGGATAACAGCTCCATTTTAAACTTGCCAATTTTAAAAATAATGTTCACGCTTTCCCTTGACATTATTTCTACTTTTATTGTCTATTAATTGAAGAAAAACGTTTATGACAAGGACTCATGTAGCAACCTTAAATACAGTTACATTTTCTTAATTGAATACATACCTATATTTCAGAAAAAGTTTGTTATATGTGAGACTATGTATTTCACCTGTGGATAATCCGTCATGTGGCTGGGTCATGATCTCTCCCAGTGTTAGCACTGTTCCCCTGTGGTCTAACACTTAAAAATTGAAAAGCATTGAATAATGCCATTATGCTTTCACAGTTGATATTTCTGTTACTTAGAAATGCTAAACCAAATTAAGTCCCCTTAGTCTAAACATAAGCAAAGTTGTTTATATTTTAAAATTTTGTGACTATAAGGGTCAAACTTTGAAAGTTCAACTTTTTTAAAAACAGATCATTGAAAAGGCAGCCGAGATTGCAAGCAGTGATAATGCGAATGTTTCGGTGAGTATCTGGGGCTTAAAAGGGTTTTCCCTCCTGGAGAAGTATGTTCAGCTCATTGAGATAGGAAACCATTTAGATAGTGAGCTTGTTTAGATAGCAGACCATACCCCGTGTGGAAGAACAGTGTGTAAGTTGCATTAACCTGGTTGTACTCGGGTTTTGTTCCATGGCATCTCTGTCCAAAGGTGGGCGGGGCCCAGCTTTGTCACACAGCCTCACCCTCAGCAGATACTCCGTGAGTAGTGTTGTGGCATCCCAGAGAGTTCAGTATTTTCTTTGTGAATTTCATACCGTTTAATGAGGAGACTGTAATGGTATTTCATGCCAGGCTCCAGGATTCTGCCACCTCGATGCTCTGAGATGCATAAAATAGTTTCATGATTACTGCTCCAGCCTCTTCTCCATCCTAGCCTGTATCAGGACAGTGAGGCGGAAGGGCCACTCTGTTCTCTTTTATGATGTCATTAGAATGGATCACTTTTGCTTACATGCCATTGGCCAGAACTTAGTCACGTGCCCATACTTAACTGCAGATGGACAATACAGCCTTTAGCCTGGACAGTCATTTGCCAGGCTAAAATGAAGAGATTAGAGTGCTAAAGTCAGAGGGAAGAATTAATATTGAGGCACCAACAGCAGACTGCCACATGTAATGTTCTTACTGTTTCTGTCCAGATAGTGCAGTTTATATGACTTTCTTAGTTTGGTTTATACATTATATTGCTAATGTTATTGTTGTTAGTGTCACCGAGTTGACTCTTGACTCATAGCAACCCTACATACAACAACTCTGAACCCTGCTCTATCTTGGGCCAATTTCATTGTTTCTGACACACCTACCCCCATTACCTAGTCACTGAGTCAATCCATCTCATCCAGGATCTTTTTTACTAGCTTATTTTCTCTTTTATAATTCTTAAAATTCTGTTGAGCTCTAGTCTGATACTCTGTTCTTTTGTCATCAAATTATCTCCCCATCCTCCAAGTGACAACTTTTAAGTGTCTTTCACAAATCCATTGCACCCGTATAACAATGATGTAGAGACCAGGGGGCAAGATGGAGATAATATATGTATTTTTTTCCTCATTCTTACAGAATATATACAGTGTTTAACGGTGATTCGTTGTCTTCTGATCTGTCATTATTATTATTATTATTAGAAGCTGTTGAATTGAGCACAGCTCAGTGTACAGTGTTGTTGTTATGTGCCATCGAGTTACTTGCGACTTGTTGCCTTCAGAACAGCTCTGAACCCTGTCCTGTTCTGAGCCAATCCCATTGCCTCTGACACACCTACCCCCAGTACCTCAGGAACTGTGTTATTCCATCTCATCCGAGGTCGTCATCTCCTGCGCTGTCCCTCCACCCTTCCTAGCATGATGTCCTTCTCCAAGGACAGGTCCCTCCTGGCAACATGCCGAGATAAGTGAGACAGAGCCTTAAAATCCTTGTCTCCAAGGAGCAGATTGGTTTCACTCTCTCCCAAGACAGACTTGTTTGTTCTCTTGCCCATGCATAGTGTGTTGAATACTGTTCTCCATCACCACAACTCAAAGGCATATGATATAGTTCTTCTGTTATCCTTAGTCATTATTTATCTCTCTGATGCATAATAACAAGTAGTTGCAAAGATCTTTCTGATGCATAATAACAAGTAGTTGCAAAGACCACGGCTTGTATTGGGTGCACCTTAGTCTTTATACTCATATCATTGCTCTTCAGCACTCTGGCGTAGTCCCTGACAGTGTATTTTCCTAATGTACTTCATCTTTTACTTCCTGACTCCTAGTGTTAAGAGTGTTGATTGTGGAGCCGGACAAGCTGTAACTGTTAACAATCTCAGTCTCTTCTCCATCTTTCAGAGTGCTGTCAGTTGGCCTAGTGATGAAAATCTTTGTCTTTTTGACATTGTGCTTCAATCCATATTGAAGGTCCTTGACCTTCTACAGCAAATGTTTCAGGTCCTCCCCAGTTTCAACAAGCAAGGTTGTGTCACCTGCATAACACAGGTTGTTGATAAGTCTTACTCCAATCCTGATGCTACGTTCCTCCTCATAAATGACTAACAGTGACCTTGCAGACAACAAATCTGAACCCTGTCCTATCCTGTGTCAACCTCACAGTCTCTGACACACTTGAGCCTATTACTGCAGTCACTGTGTCAGTGCACCTGGTTGAAGGTCTTCCTCTCCTTCACCATCCTTCTACCTTTCCAAGCACGTTGTCCTTCTCTAAGGAAGACCCTCTCCTAACAACATACCCAAAGTATGCAAAACGAAGCCTCACCACCCTCTCTTCCAGGAACAATCCAGCTTCACCAGACATGACTGTCTGTACTCTTGGCAATCCGTGGGATATCCAGAATTTACCACTAATTTAAACAGCTTTTATCTGCTCTTAGCATATTTTTTTTTAACTAATGATTGTCACTGAGTCACTGTTACTGCAGTGAATCGTTTAATAGCCTGTTTTCTGAATTTCTTTTTCTTTTTGGACTTACAAGTTGGCATGTATTCCATGGTAGAACATTTTCTTCTTTCTCATTCACGCATCTTTTATTTAGAGGGGTTTGGACTCAATGATTTCTAGTTTATTCCATCATTTCTAAGTTAGTGTCATTTATTTTGGAGTGCATATCATCCATGAGGAAGGTTACTGGGCACCCCCTCAAGCAGTCCCCAGGGTCTTTTTGACATGTCTCTGTCATTCCTTGGGCATTTCCTTCTTTATAGTACAGCAGTGTTTCAGGTTCACGTGTGTCAGAGACCATGAGGTTGGCCCAGGATCGAGCAGGGCTTGGAGCCGTCGGGCATAAGGTTGCTGTGAGTCGCCGGCAACAGCAACAATGTGGTACTTTCCCTTCCTTCGCCTTGGAATCAGGTTTCTCCAGGGACTACTAATTCCTTTGATTTGTGGAAAGTATTTAGAATCAAAAGTCTATGCTGAGTGTATTCATTGCTGCTAAGGTATAATTACTTCCAAGTCCTTTCTCAGGACAGTGCTGGGACATACATGTACCTCCAGGGATTTACCTGTGTGTGCTTAGAGAAAGATATATGCATATGTAAATAGATTTATATATTTATATACATAAATAGATATTATTTAGATTTAGGTAAACACACCTAAATACGGATATATTTCCTTATCTAGCTATTAAAAACCATGAATTCTAATCAGTGCCTCTAATTTTTAACCATTTACCACAGCCTTTTCCCCCCCTCCAGTCTTACCTGTCTGTATTTTCAGTTGCTTTGTGTAATCTTGTGTTGTATTACAAAACCATACAACCAGTTATTTAGGCCCTGGTTTATCAGTCTAGACCTCATGGGCTACTTCATCCCCACCTCTAGAGATCAAGCCCGCCAAGTCTGGCCAGCACTTCAGTTAATCTTCTGTCCCTCAGAAGCACATTGCTAACCTGTCACCTGACAGGTAGATGAGGGGCTCTCTTACAGCCAAGAGAAAGGTGCTCTTTTTTCTTCTGATTAAACAAAATGGTTTCTTTTTCTCAGAAATAATTATTGCATCATAGTGTCTGTATTACGATTTTAAAAAAACGTTAAGTATAAAGAAACTCTGGAGAAAATGTGTTACTTTTTATCACTTCCATTCTCATTTTCATGTAAACACTTTAAATTGTATGTCATCTAGTTATACTGTGCTGTGTAATTTGTATTACTAAATGTCTCAAGTTTTGTAAAAGAATCTGAACTTGTGTATTTTGTTCCGTTTCCTGCCTACATTTCTATTAGTTGTTTGGCTTCACCTTGGCATTATCCAATGCTGGGATTTTCATAGTTCAGTAAATGACCTCAGTACACTAACACAGCCAACCCCTCCTTCTCTGCTCTTTGTTTCTTCCTAGGCCTTTAGGATAGTAGGTCTATAAGTATTATTTGGAACTATGAAACTACAGTAAGGCTACTAGCTCTTTGAAATCCTTAACAGTAGTTTGCCTTTCTCCAACAAAAAATATATACTCAGTGTCCTTTGCAGTAATAGAATTAGTTCCAAGATGTAAGGATAGAAGCTATGTGTTCAGTTTTTCATAACTTTTTTTTCATGTTCTTTTTTAGAGAAGTATAAAATCACTGTAATTTCATCTAAAATCCTTTCCTGCCATTTATCTGCTTACTCACCAGGCCCAGGGGACCTGGAGTTTGCTTTTTCTGCTAATTAAGGAGCTCTGGTGACTTAGTGGGGAACGAGTTGTGCTCCCAGCCCCAAAGGCAGAGGTATTTCAGATTCACCAGCTGCTCCGTGGGAGAAAGACAGGCAGCCTCGTGTCCGGTCCACAGCCTCTGGAAGCCCGCTGGAGGGTCAGCCTCAAGTCACTCCTGGCTCAGTGGCAGTGAGAGAGGCACAACTGAAAAGGGAGGTCCTGTGGCAGAGGCGACGGTACTGCTAACATGGGGGGTTCAGGTCCACCAGCCGCTCTGAGGGGAAAAGACAAGGTCTCCTCCTCTGCAGTTCACAGCGTCTGCAAGCCCACTGGAGGCTCAGCTGCGAGCCGGTTCTAAGTCAGTGGTAGTGAGTCGTTACTACTTACGGAGCTGTGGATAAAAGCATTTGTCGTTGAACTGAAAGGATCTTCAGGAGTTGAAACTGACTTGATGGTAGCGGGTCGTTACTTATTACTGGCTAGCCGCGACTTGCTGGGTAAGGTCAGGAAAGGACCTTGCATGAGATGAGTGCCCCAGTGGCTGTGGAGTGACCTTGAATGTGGTGGAGATCTAAGGGTGGCTCAAGGTGGAGTAAGGTCCTCAACTGTTGCTCATAGGGCCACTGAGTCAGAGTCAACTTGACGGCACCTGACAACAACAGCAGCAGCAACAACAGTTCTGTTCTTCAGAGAATTTGTTCTAAATTAGGATTGTTTGTGCAAAACCATCATGGTTTTCCTTGTATTTTTCACTTTCACTCACTCTTTTTTCTAACAGTGGTTTCTTGTCGGAGCATTCTCATGAAGGGTCCCAGAGCCCTCTGTGTTGAGGTGAGGGCTTAGACACTGAGCAATTCCATCAGGATATCCTTGGGGTTTGTCATTGAGGGTCCCCGAGCCCTCTGTTGTGAGGGCTTACACACTGAGCAATTCCATCAGTACTCTTTCAGATACCCTGCAGCAAATACCCTATGTACGTGGCAAAAGAGTCTCTGAGGGTAATTTGTAGCTGTCGAACCTCAGGGCCCGATGACAAGAACAAACAGTTTTACTGCTGCTCCTATGAGGGTTTCACTCAGAGGGTCCAAGCAGCCTTTCCCTTCATTGCTGTCTCTTTTTACCTGACTGGTCTAGAGCGGTGCTGGCCTGAGTGGTGCCTGACCCTCAGGAGAAATCTGACTGCATATGGTCAGCGCCCTGCTTCTGTAATCAGAATCCAGAATCCTGCCGTTCTCACTAAGAAGTTCCATCATGTGGATGTGACTGAAGTGCTTCTCAAAAACCCCAGTGTTTATTTGGTAAATCCAGGCATGTTATAAATAAGCCCTTGGAAAGGGGCCCAGGCCTGCACTACTCCGGGGGCAAGCAGTGCCTGGGCCTGGTCTGCGATTAGCATACTCAGAGCTCCTAGCGTAGCTCAGGTAGCCAGACCTGTTCAGTTCTCTTCCAGAATCCAGGGCGTGGCCTCCCCCCTGGCACGTCAGGACTCCTCCAAATCCAGCACAGAAATGATGACCATTTTTCCCGACCGCTTAGCACTCAGTGTCTCCGCAGACCAGCCAGGGGCCTTGTCAGAGAGAAGGGCAGGTACCGAGCTGTGGCTCCTGCTGGTGGGCAGGGCTGGCACTAAGAGTGCAGCCAGTCACCGGGAGGCCAGACCAGGGCTGTTATGCCCTGTCACCCTCCTTCAGTGTGTCCTTCTGCAAAACGTACCTGATCTGGGTGCCCTGTGTGTGCTGCTCCGTCCTCCTGGCACCTCTTCCTCTCTTCCCCTGTACCCTGTACACCCTGTTCTCTCTCCTTTACCTGACCATTCATCTTCAGGGCGGCTTCTGTTGTTTGCTTTCGAGTTTGTTTTGGGGATATTTTTGAGAGAGATTTTATTGTGGTTTAGGTACAAATTTATAGAACAGATTAGCTACTAATTCAGCAACTTGTACACTTCTCTTTGTGGAGATTAGTTGTAATCCCCTCACGGTAAGAACACTCCCCATTTCTTCCGTGGGTTCCCTGTTTCTCTTCACCACTCTTCCCCACCACTCTGCTTTCTGAACTGCTCACTGGTTTCATCTGTTGGATTGCTCTGACAAGCATGTTCCTCCTGCGTGTTACTGTTCACTTTATAGCCTGTCTGGTGTTTAGTTGTGGAATCTCCAGGTTGTTGTTGTTGTTCGCCATTGAGTTGGAATCTACTCAAAGCTGACTCTCCAGTATGTTTTCAGAGACTTTAAATCCCATGTGAAGAGATTGCCCAACTTTCTCCCATGGAGCGGCTACTAGATTAGAACTGTGTACCTTAGGATTGACAGCACAACTTACTACCACTAGGCCACCAGAATGCCTTTGAAGGTGTAAAGTGCACCTGATTCAGACCCTATTCCTCTCAATCACCTGCTACACATCAGAGAGCAGGACAGTGACTAAAGAGGCATCGATGCCTTTTAGCTGTGTTGCTGGAGGACAGTGCAGAATATCCCATGAACTTCCTAAAGGACACACATATCTTGGAAAAAGTGCAGTGAAAATGTTCGCTGGAGTCAGAGATAGCAAAGCTTTGTCTTTTATACTTTGGACATGTAGCTAGGTGAGGCTGTTCCTTGGCTAGGGACATCTTGGAAAGATGGAGAGAGGGAAGGGAAGACTGTGAACGAGATGGATTGACACTGTGACTTCAGCAATAGTGTGTCAGAGCTCTAACGTGTCAGAGGTGATGAGGCTTGGATCAGGCCCACTGCTTTCTAGCCTTTTGGAGAGCTCTTTGATAATAAATTTTCCCAGTACAACCCTTCTGGTGGCCTCATAACTGCTGTTACCATGAGTGTTGATTGTGGATCCAAGTACAATGAAATAGTTGAGAGACTTCAGTCTTTTCCCCAGCTATCACGACAATTGCCATATTAAAGGCTGTATTCTTTGATCTGTAGTAAATGCTTTACTATCTTTACTTTAATGCAGAATATTGATTTTTTTTCCCCTCCAATCCTGATGACACATTCTTCTTCATATACTTCTTGAATAATTTACTCTGTGCACAGCTTGAATAAGTATGGAGAAAGGATGCATCCCTGATCCTTTCCTGATTTTAAGCCATGCGCTTAGTGGTACCTTGTTGAATTGAAACAGTTGTCCTGGTCTGGGTATATGTTTAACATAAGGACAATCAAGTGTTTGGTAATTCCCACTCACCTTAATGTTAGCCGTAATTTGTTCCGATCCACATAGTCAAATGTCTTTGCATAGTCAATATAACACAGATCTCTTTTTTTTTTTAATAAATAAATACCCTTCTTGTGTTCTCTGCTTTCCGCCAAGATTCATCTGACATGGTATCCCTTCTGCCAACGCTGCATCTAAATCCAGCTTGAATTTGTGCAGTTTCCCGTCAATGTAGGGTCCAGTCGTTTTTCCATAATCCTTGGCACAGTTTTACTTGCATGTGATAGTAATGATACTCGGTCACTTCTGCAGTCTCTTGGATCATCTTTTTTGTGGGAATGAGAGCAGATACAGATTGCTTGAGTCACTTGGCCAGGTAGCTGTTTTCCATGTTTGTTGACAGGGACTAGTGAGCATGTCCGTGCTGTCCATCTGTTTCCTGAAAGGTCTCAGCTGATATTCTATCAATTTCTGGGACCTCCTTTAAGACTTCCGCCAATGCCTTGCGTGTGGCTTGGGCTTCTTCCTTCAGCTCTGGCTCATATGCTACTTCCTGTGATGTTTCAGCGTTGACTAATTCATTTGCATACAGTGACTCTGTATTTCTTATATCTTTTTTTTCATGCTTCATGTATCAGTCTTGATTTTGCCCATAGTCACCTTCAGTGTTGCAAGTGAAGGCTTGAATACGTTCTTCAGTTCTCTTAGCCTGAGAAATGCTGAGCACCTTTTTTCCTTTTGATTCTCGAACTCCAGCTGCTTGCCTATTTCATTATCATACCTACTTTGTCTTCTTTTTTTTTCTGTGGTGTCAGTAAATTATTTTTTTTCTATAATTATATTTTATTAATTTTTATAAACATTTACAGAGATTTTGGGTTTCCATTCATTCATTGTTGCACTATTCTCTCTACCCTCCTCCCAGTTTGTTCTTGTCCAAATGCCACAGTGCTTGTCAAAGCCAGTTCTGATTAATCTTCTTTGCCAGTGTGTCCTTTGCCATTCCCTATCACTCCTCCCTGAGAGAGACTTCACCCTGAGTCATAAGGAAAAGGGGATGGCGTATTCTCTTAGCTACTTCCTGCTGAAAAGGGACGCTGTGGGTTTCAGGGTGAAGATCTTCTCTCACTACTCTAAAGGGCCCCTTTGGCAGTAGGAAACACATAGACTATTATGGAGATTGATTTTGGAATTTAGATGCACTCTTATTGATTGTGCTTGGCTGTACATGTTCATATCCTTGAAGATGTATCATGGGGGTGTTGCAACCTAGAAGACACAAATTTGACTAACAAGTTATAAGTACATGAGTCAAAAATTATGGAAAAGTAAAAGAAAAGATTCTTTCATTGTTTTACAAACCCTCCCCCAGGTCCCCTCCACCATGTAGCCCTCGCTCTAGTCTCCTGTGATGACAGAAATACCTAGTTATATATCTCTTTTAAACAGTTTTCTCCCTCCTCTGTTTCAGTGCAGTATACATTATTGAACCCATCTTACTCAGTCTCTCCCCAACCCCAAGGACAGTCCCATTCTACAACAGTGGCATCATGTAATATTTGTCCTTTTGTGACTGGGATATTTCACTCAGCATAATGTTCTCCAGAGTCAACCATTTTGAATAATATTGCATGAGTTCCTTGTTTTTTAATGCAGCATGGTATTCCATTGTGCGAATATACCACAGCTTCTCTAGCCATTCGTTTGTTGATGGGCACTTAGGTTGTTTCCAACTCCTTGCTATTGTGAACAAAGCTGCACTTTGTCTTCTTGAGCACAGCTTTCCGCTTAGCTCTTATCTGAACATTCCTTCCCTTGTTTCAGCTTCTTTTCATTCCACTTCAGATCCCACCGATTGTCTGTCAGTGTACCCTTCTGCGGTGGCTGTGCCCCCGGTATTTGAGTCAGCAGGGTCGCCCTGGTGGGCAGGTTTTAGAAGAGCTTCCAGATGAAGACTAAGAAGAACATTATTTAATCTCGTGCCACAGGATGAGCCTTTCCATTTGGAAGGAAGGCACTGAAAATGAGATGAGGGAAGACTGACCTCTTCAGAGTAGACTCTTAGGTTAATGATGTACACGAATGAAAGCTTTCACTTAATGAAGGACTTACCTCTGCTCGTATAGCAAGACCTGAAATGAGGAGAAACAACTGCAAACAAGAATTGGTAGTCAGAAAATACAGATTGGGTGGTAAAAATGAGGCCACCAATGTCATGATAGAATTTTATTTCTTCCACAACAAAGTATTTCCCACCTACACTGACTTTCCATTGACTTGCTGGTTGCACGGCTTTATTTAAGCTTCATGTTTTGTGACTCTTGCTTGTCCACAGAGGTGGGGGCTCGATTCTCCCCCTGAAGTGCAGTGTCTTGAGGGATGTGTCTGTCTGTCTGCATGGACCATACAGATTTGTTTTTCAAATCTACAAAGCAATACCGCCACCTAGTGTTTGTACGGGGATTTAAAAAAAGTGGTATTTTTCCTACTTGGTATATCTTTCTTATCTTTAGCTTATATTAAACAGTAAAAACTACCAGAATCTCTCTCTATTAATGTACATCTTTAGGCTTTTAAGTTGTATATGAATTTGCTGCATGTTCACAGGTGATGTTTGCACAATTAAATCCTTTAATGAGACGTTTTACTTTCTTAGAGTCGAGGTGGGAAAAAGTTCCTCGCTGTGTTGAAAGAAATCTTGGATAGGGATCCATTATCTCAACTGTGTGAGAACGAGATGGATCTCATTTGGACTTTGCGACAAGACTGCAGAGAGAATTTCCCACAGTCACTGCCCAAATTACTGCTGTCCATCAAATGGAATAAACTCGAGGACGTTGCCCAGGTAAGAGAAGATTATCTTGTAGCTCGCCCCGGTGCTCTGTTACTTTGTCGATTTCACCTAGATTACTCTTTCCCACATAGTTCTAGTTCCGTAGGAAGACTCAGGTTCTGCAGGGTTATCGAAGCAGCCCAGCCGGATGCCGTTGAGTTGACTCCAACTCCTGGCAAACCCACGGAGTCACAGGAGAACCGGGCTCCCCAGGGATTCAGTGGCTGCTTCTGCTCCAGGGGATTGCCAAGCCTTTCTTCTCAGGCACCTCCGCGTGTACTTGAACCTGCACTCTTTGGGTTAGCAGCTGAGTGTTATTGAAGGGTTCTGAGTAGTTGGCATTGAGGTTGCCCCTCACTTTTGGCACCTCGTGCAGAGGAACCTTCAAGAACCTCTGCCATTTCTGCTTTTACTGTTGACCCGACTAAATTATGTGCTCCCATAGGACCAGTTGATGTTGACTGGACAAAGACTCATAGTTTTCCCCAAATTAAGTTATTTAAGGATCAACAGCCTATGTGGCAGGATATCCTAGAGTGGATCTCTCTGCCTGTGTGAATTCAGTTTTTAATTTGTATCATGTTAATAGAGTTAGAATAGAACAGAACAGCGCAAGATACTACGTTGATAAAAGAGATAGTAAATGCCAAGAATGTCACGTGTAAATTGCTTTTGTTATAAAGTTGGTTATAAGCAAAGTATTAGTGGATTGTTTTCCCTGTTAGACGTTTATTTTAATCCATTACTTGTGACTAGTTATTACAACAGTTCCGTTTAATCTTCTATCAGCCTTTTAAGCAATGTCTAGCCAAATCCGTTGCTTAGATATTTAATACAAATGTGTGTTACCACAGCTACGTGGAATTAAGAGCTGGGCAGTAGTCTCCTGATAGTTTCCATGCTGTGAAGAAACAAAAATATTTGTATTGCGTAGATAAACAGGAAAAAGAAATGTATGTAGATGTGATATATGGCTGGGTCCTAACTGAAGTCAGGTTTTTCTGACATCTTTTGCACAGTGATTTTTTTTCTCTTTTGAAATAAGCAGGGATTTGATGTTTAACAACCAGCTCTCAAGGAGGTGAAAGTGAAGTAGCACTGGTTTGATATTGCATTTGATGATTTCTGTGGTATCAGAAATCCCATCATGGTTGCTTTCAAGTTATCAACCAAATGACACTACATGTGGCATAGAGTCCATTGTAGTAACGCACACTGTAGTGTTTCCACCCCAGAACACCACATTCGCCGCCACTGAGTCTGAACTGGCTCCTAGCTGACCCTCCAGTGGGTCTTCAGAGGCTGGAGAGTGCCCATCTTTCTCTGATGGAGCAGGAGGTGCATTTGAACCCATGCTGTTGGAGTGACAGCGTGACTCCTTACCCACGAGGCCACCAGAACTGCTGGTGGATTCCGACTCCGCAGAGGCTCTGGCTTTGGGTCACACCCCTGATCCTGCCCCGCCTTCAGTCTCCACTGTGCCTGGCTTTTTCTTATTGATAATGTGTTCATTATGATTTCAGAAGTTCAAAAATTGTCAATGAGTTCTATTCTGTGATAGATAACTCTAAGATAATTTTTAAAAACTAAAGACAAAATTGCCTTAAGGTAGTTTTCAGCTATTATGAATGAATTTTTTATATACCAAGTACATGCCATGTGTTTTTGCTCTGCAGTTCATGCTTGTACCCTGAGTTCCACTTTTAAGTGCTGCTTCCTTTCTTTTATTCATTCTATAATCCTTATTCAGTATGCCAGGTATTGGGTGCGTCATCTTTTTCCTTCCCTTTCCATGAATAATAGCATTTTATTAGTAACCTATAGAATGTTTTCATTTCAAAGAAATCAAATCTTTGTTAACCTATCCCGGCATAAATGGAGAATATCAGAAAGCATGCTTTTTTTTTGGTAATGCACCTCGATGCACCTGTGTGTGCCGAGGAAAAATAGTTTGCTTTTCTTCCCCAGTGTTTCTGAGCCAGTTTCCATTTTCTAAACAGCTTCAGGCACTTCTGCAGATTTGGCCTAAACTGCCCCCTCGGGAGGCCTTGGAGCTTCTGGATTTCAACTACCCGGACCAGTACGTGCGGGAATACGCTGTGGGTTGCCTGCGACAGATGAGGTATCTCCTACAGGTGGCTTTCCTGGGGCAAGGAATGACTTGAGGGCTGAGGGTGGGTAATGGGATGGCTCCTTGAAGGAGAAAGGAAAAGGTTCACAGATTATATTGACATTTACTCTATATCATAAACAGAAACTAACTGGATTTGTGAATCCAGAGTTCACTCCTTAGTATTTCATTAACAGGAATCCTAGGATCCCACACCTAGTCACACTCACAGCCATAATTTGTTAAAGCAGAGGAATCCAGAGCCAAGTTCTCAAAGGGGAGAGGCACCAGCAATGGCAGCGAGGTCCATAGGAAACCATCTGCAGGCCCCGTGTCCCTCCCCAGGGTGGTAGAACCAAACACACTTCCCTCACCAGCATGTTGGGACACTACTCAAGTGTTGTCTCCTGGTGTAACTCCTTAGAGACACAGTGCTAAGGCTTTGTACTGGGGCCTCGAGACATCACGCTGGGAAAGGCAGAAGAAGAAAGGAAGAGCTTCAACAAGGTGCATTCATCGGTGTAGTTGTTCAAGTGGTTGTGGGCTCAGACACAGCAGAGAGGGTGAGAACAGCACAGGATAGCTTCAGAGCTCTTTTTCATCGGGTCACTGAGTCATCATAGCCTTGAAGGTGTCTCACAGCAATCCCCACAGGCGTGTAGGTTGGTTTCCGCTGCCTCACACAGAGCAAAATTCAGGCTCCCAGAAGAATTATGGCTGTTTACCATAAACCACACTATAAAGCAATAAACCAGTGCACACCCTTTATAGGTACAGTGACCACGCTCATCAGTTAGAGCAGTGGCAACCCTTCCACAGTCGTAAGTTCCCAGACCGCAGGCAATGGCCAGCCTCAGAAGCAGGCTTTCAAAAGATGGCATTCAAGTCTGCTGTGTTAACACAACGAGTACAGCTCCCAGAATGAAGAAATGCTCATACTTTCCATGCAAGTAATTTAAAGTCAAGTAAAAAAAAAAAAGATGCAGCTAGAAGTCTTCAGAGTTACCTGCCCAATTTTGATTACTTTCCTCCTTTCCCATAAGAACCGTTGTCATGAATTTGGTGTGTATCCTTCTAGGAAACCCCCTCTCGCCTCCTTTCCCCACCCCCACCCATCCCTATGTATCACATAGCAACATGCATGTTATAAAATACAGATAGACGATTAGTGGCAATTTTAAAATGGCACAAATGGTCCTTATCATATGCTTTATTTTACATCTATCTTATTTTCATTCAGCATTAGATTTTTAGATCAGTCTATCTGCTTACGTAGTGTTTATTGTCACTGCTGGACAATATTTTGTCGTATGGCTATGCCATATGCGTGGCTATGCCATATGCGACCTGTTTGTCTATGAAGGAACATTTCGGTTTGACGTTATAAATAGTGCTCCAGTTTTCATGCTGTGTATATAAAGCCTGTTGGGTACTTCCATGTGTGACAGCGAGAGATTGCTGAAGAGTTGACACTTTTGTGGTTAGCCTCAAGCTGTGGGCATTTTCACATTTATTAATTTTCATTTCTAACCTCAGAAATAGAAGCCTTTAGATAGTGTGATTTTTTTTTTTTAGAAAATCATTTACTGAGCAATATACGCACTGATGCCTTTTCCTTCCTTTTTAATTTGTATATTGCATCATATTTATTTGTATGATAGCACACACTTTATAGTGGTGGTTTTAGGGGGGTGAAATTAGAAGAGTAGGAGGAGAAATTTTTAATAATTTTATAAATGCAGCATTATGATAGATGGTGAAGAGATTGAGATTGTTAACAGCTTTAGTTTGCTTGGCTCCACAATCAACACTCTTGGCACCAGCAGCCAGGAGATTAAAAGATGAATTGTGATGGGAAAGTCTGCTGTTAGAGACCTCTCCAGAGTACTGCAGAGCAATGATGTCACTCTGACAACTAAGGTGCACCTGATACAGGCCATGGTTTTTTCAGTCACTTGCTGTGCATCATAGATCTGGACAATGACTAGGGATGATAGAAGGAAAATTGATGCCTTTGAGCTGTGGTGTTCAAGAGTCTATTGAATATACCATAGACTGCTAAAAGAATGAACAGGTTCAACCTTGAGAGGGTGAAGCTAGGCTGCTCCTTGGAGGCAAGGATTCTGAAGCTTCGTCTGACATACTTTGGACATGTTGCAAGGAGAGACCAGTCCTTGGAGAGGGACAGCGCAGGAGAGGAAGACCCTCGATGAGGTGGATTGATTCAGTGACTGGGATAATGGGGATAGGTGCGTTGGAGACTGTGAGATTGGCACAGGACAGAGCAGGGTTTAGGGCTGTTGTACACACAGTCGTGATGAGTCGCAGGTGACTCGATGGCACATAACAACATAAATGAGCATTGCTTTTACAATAAACTAATTAAAATGATCCTATTATGTGCCACTGAGTTGGAACTGACTCATAGCTGATCCTTCAGTGGGTTTTCAGAGGCTGCAGGTTGCACAGGAGGAGACTGCCCATCTCTCTTGTGCAGGGTTGCTGAAGATTCAAACGACCTGCCTTTTGATTGACAGCACAACTCCTTACCACTGGGCCACCCTAAAATAACTGTAAATATAACTTTTTAAAAAAAGACAACAAAAAATCCAACTCCACTTGCTCATTATGTTGCTGTTGCTTTTATGTGCTGTTGAGTCGCTTGTGACCCGAGCCAATCTCATTACCTCCAGCACACCCACCCCCATCGCCCCAGTCACTGAATCAATCCATCTCATCCAGGGTCTTCCTCTCCTGTGCTGTCCCTCCACCCTTCCAAGCATGATGTCCTTCTTACTCATTGCTGTTGTTGATTGCCATTGGGTCAGGCACAACTCATAGTGACCCCATGAACAAAAGATGTGAAGCCTTTCTAGAACTGTCAACATTTTACTCTGTAGTCTCCCTACATGTGCACTGGAGACCTAAGGGAAGAGGAACCTGGCAGAGCCAAGTACTTTTCTTAAATGAATTTTGATACCCAGAAATTGCTATGATCCCATGTTCCATGGAACATAATTCTGATTTTTTTCCCCCCGTCTGTGTTAAATTTTCTGATTCTGAGTTTTGTTTTGTGATACGTAGTGCACTAGGTTTTTGGCAGAGATATGCCCAAAACAACTTTATTCAACTGGGAGCTCTGGTGGCTCTGTTGGTAAGGACTTGTGCTGCCAGCCCATCAGCACACAGTTTGAATCCACTAGCCACAAGGAAGAAGGGAAGTCTCCTTCTGTGTGATTCAAAGCCTCGGAAACCCACTGGAGGGTCAGCTGTGAGCCAGCACCCACTTGACAGCACATAACAATAACAACAGCTTCATTAATCATTTGTTACCCAGGTCTACAGTCAGGGACTGGTAGGCTTGGGATGCACACGCAGGGCCACTAATGACACACTCCTCTTCACCTCCACATTCTCATGGCCCCTGGGAGTGGCAGTAGGCTATGGACACTGTCATGGGCTAGCTTATGTAGGGGAGCAGAATCAATGAAGTGTGTGAGAATAGACAGATTTCAGGGCAGTGGCTCCCCGACTCATCAAGACTGGCAAGTCCCAGCTCCATGGTCCAGCCCTCAGGAGAGAGGTGTCCAGGGAGACAGAGGAGGCCAGGCTCTGCAGACGAGCTTTGGAGACTGATGACACAAGTCAGCCAGAGATGCTGATGGATTAACAGGTCCGGCAGCCTGTTGATGCAAGTCGGGAATCATGAGCCAGAGGTGCTAGAGAGAAAAGGCTCTCTGTAACTTCCCCCATTGATAGAAATATTCAGCTCAGTCTACGCTCCAAGGAGACTTCCCTACAGCAGGTTAGGTTGAACATACCCTCTCATCACTGCCTTTATCTTCCCTCATTAACACCATAAAGGTCAGGATTTAAAACACATTACCAAAACCAACCCCCCTGCTGTCCCAAGGCCCCCTCTGTGGGGTTTCTGAGACTGTAAATCTTTACCGGAGGGAGCTGCTCACCTTTTCCACACATTGTAGCTGTGCATTTAAACTGCCCACCTTCTTTCTTCTAGAAGCCTGTTAAGTTATATGCAGTGTATCACCTGGGCTTCTTGGAACACGTTAGGATAGTTCCATTATACTGAGGGTCATGCGCATGTTGAAACACCAGATAAACCACAGCATGTGCAAAACAGAGAACCACTAGCTTTAATTAACTTCTTACAATACTATTGTTGTAATTCAGTCCAGTTTATTACAATTCTTGTTATGCAGTTCCACTTAGAGTTCTACTTCTTACCCTTCGGACTATTTCATGTTAAGATTTTAGTTTTTTACCCTTGGAGAGGGGAACCCTGGAGGCCTAGTGCCTGTAACCATAGCCCGTGGGGCCACTAACTGAAGGGTCTTCAGTTGAATCAAGTAGCTACTTGAACAAGAAAGGTGGAGCACCCTCCTGTTAGGATTGACAGTCTCAGAATCCTAATGGAACCCTATCCATTTTCATGTGTATCTTGGAGAAGTTGTTAATCCTAATTGTATGGTAGGAAAATAATGGCTAAGATACTATTGGAATTTTATTTTGAAGCAATAGATCACATAGTTGAATTCACTTTTTTTCCCAGCAATATGAGAGAATAATTCTAATGGGCTGATTACAAATAAATACAATACATAACTGCTCTAGTTAAACTATTCAAATGTATCGCAGAGTTGCTCTTTGTCTCCACTTGACATGGCTACTTTCTGTGCTGTATGGTCGAATTGATGCCATGCTTGTAAGCAGAAGGTGTAGTAGACAGGTGAAAGTGTACCTCAAAGAAACACTGCATTTGTAAATTTAAGTTTATATATGAGGGTTCGCTAAGAAGGGGTCTTTTTCTACTGCAAGCTAGTAAGGGATTTACTGTTCTTGTTTCTTTCAGTGATGAAGAACTCTTGCAGTATCTGTTACAACTGGTGCAAGTGTTAAAATACGAGCCTTTCCTCGATTGTGCTCTCTCTCGGTTCCTATTGGAAAGAGCACTTGCTAATCGGAGAATAGGGCAGTTTCTGTTCTGGCATCTAAGGTGAGTCATTTATTTTTGTTTCAGAGGCTACAGTTGGCTTTAGTGACTATGAATTAGGGTAACATAAGACAGTAATGGAATAGCCAGCTGTTTGATTGATTTCGCACTTTGTTTTAACATTGACACTATTCTCAGTTCTCCTGGTTTTCGTGATTTGGCATAGTACATTAAGTAAGTGTTCTCTCCCTGTTTGATTTTTAACTGAAAATAATAATAGACTCACACTGTTTCCCAGTTAGGAGTATGTGTTGTTTTTAATATGGTTGAACTAAATATAAACATAGTCGTTTCCTGCAAGGAGATTCTGGTTCATTTCTGCTCTTGAGTGATAGCAGTGGTGGGTCAAGATCGCATTTTCCTTTTTCAGCTTCTGTATTAACTGATCGTCAGAAACACATCCATTTTATTTCAACAAATGAGTATGGCAGTAAAACTAGGAATAAAGATCTCAAGCTGTTCTTAAGTCTCCAAGGAAAACCCTAATTTCTCATTGCTGACTCTGTCCTCTAAAGTATTAACACCAGTGTTTTCCAGGGAAGGAAAAAAATCTTTCTAATAAGTTTAACAGAAACAAGCTCTGTTTATCTGTTGTTAATTTTTATCAGCAACAGAATTTTTATTTGGTTAATCTGTTATCTGCTGTTAATTTTTTCTCAATAGTGATTTCTTTCTTAAGCATATATTAAGCATTCTTTATTATTTATAGTTTTTTTCTTATTTTAAACTTACATTCTTTTTTCCATCAAGTTTCATTTCCTCATCAGAGATCATATTTCTGATCATATTCTCATCAGAGAATAACAAAATAAGATTCTTTCCTTTTTCAAATGTGTATACTGATCTTTAAATAATAATAAAAAAAATTCCACTAAAACCAAATGAATAAAAGCAAATTGTCCTATTAGTCACCCCTGTGAAGCTGAACAAATTTATAGACCTCTGCCCTGAGCTTGACTTGTCTTTAGAATGGCAAAATTACTTTTGCTATTCAAAGCACCAATTGAATAAGAAGTGACATTTTGGACTGACTAGAATAGACTGAATTTATTAAAATTTTTAAAAATATTTTATAGGGAGCTTTGGTGGCCTAGTGGCCAGAAGCTGCACTGCAATACCAGAGGTGTGAGGATTGAATCCACCAGATGCTCTGCTGGAGAAGGAGGGGCAATCTCCTCCTGTACCAGTCAGATCTGATTTGACGGTACACACACACAAAATCATAAAATAAAAAATTTAAAAAAAATTTTTAGTAAAGCTTCACGAAGAGACTGATTTTCATTCATTCATGTTTTAACTTTTTGAACTCTTAAGTACTTTCAGGTTTGTTGAATTAGATAGTTGACCCTCTCATTAGTAATTATGCACTATGTATAACTTCAGGGTCACACATTTGTGATACATGTATTTATAATAAATGTGACATGTATTTATATAATTATATCACAAATGTGTGACCCTGTACTTGTTTATAGTGCATAGTTACTAATGTGTGACATTGTCTTTTTATTTCATAGTAAAATAAAGTTCATTTTCTTATTGGTGATCTGAATTGTTTGGTAAACAAATTTTTAATGTTATTAACTTCCTACAGGTCAGAAATACACATTCCTGCTGTCTCAGTACAATTTGGTGTCATTCTTGAAGCATATTGTCGTGGAAGTGTAGGCCACATGAAGGTGCTTTCCAAACAGGTATCAGCGTGTTTTAATCTTAATGTTCATCTTGGCATGTGGTGTTGACGAAACTGTATCAAATGCCACGTCTCCATCATACTATCTCTCTTACTTTTCAGAAGTTGTTATTGACAGCAAAGATAGTCGATCATCTGCCAATTTAACTGTTTTTACAATAGGGGGGAGAGGGTAGATGTGTCAGAGATCATAAAAAAAGGTAGGCTCAGGATAGAGCAGCATTCAGAGCTGTTGTACATAGGGTTGCTGTGAGTCACAAGTGACTTAACGACACACACCTTTTTATTATTTCCTGGTGGTTACTGAACCTGATTAATGCATACTTTTTTTAGAATATAAGTAAAAAAATTTGAACAAATTAGCAGAAACATTGAATGCTCCCTGAAAAAGAATGATCTTAATTTTTCCATTTCCTATATTAAAACAGTACAATTTCAATGTGCTGTTAGTAGAATGAAGACTCCTGGTGGGGTGGTGCATTACATGTTATGCTTCCAACCAAAGGGTTAGCTATTCAAGTATCCCATTTGCTCCATGAGAGAAAGATGGGAATCCTCCTCCGATAAAGATTTGCAGTATTGGAAGCCTGGGGGAGGGCTGCTGTGAGCTGGATTCCCGTTGATCATAGTTGCTTGGGCCTTATCAGTAAAACATACCTCTTCCCAAACATGGCAACAGAGGAGAACTTCACCTTCAGACCCTAGTTCCGTCATTTCCTTTCTCCCCTGGCCTAACTCACTGTTCTCCTGATTTACTCCCATCTCCCTCTCCTCATTCTCTGCCTACAAGATAATCTTGTCTTTTTCCCTTACTTAATAATTTTGTCTTTGTTGTTGTTGAGAATGTACAGAGCAAAACACACGCTAATTCAGCAGTTTCTACATGTCCTATTCAGTGGCTGTCATTATATCTGTGAAGTTGTACAAATGTTCACACCTCATGTTCTATGTTGTTCATTCTTTGCTATCAGACTTAATTGCCCCTAAATTATCTACTTAATCTTTGAAGTTACTGGATTGCTCAAGGCAGACATTGTGTAGTAGTTAAACTAAACTGTTTGCTTTTAAGAAAACTTCATGGGATGTCTTAGTATAATGTTCATAGATTTCAAGACAGTAGTTTTAGGGGTTCATCCAGCCTCCATGGCTCCAGAAAGCTACAAATCCATTTCTCCACCTATTTCTAACTTTTCCTCCTCTGTTTTGCTAGTATAAACCAGCTCTGCCTTTGATGACTATGTACAAACGTTTTAAGACTTCCAGTTACTCTGTAAGAAGCTAGGAAGTAACACACACACACACACACACACACACACACACACACACACACCCCATTAGGTTAAATAACTAGGGATGTCCCTTTAAATCATAATGTAAACCAAGCAATCGAATCCCATAGTGTGTTTGATTGTACATAAACAACCTCAATAGCTATTCTGTCTGTGGATTTATGTTAGGATACATGTATCTATCAAACAACTTTTGTCAGTTAAGCATTGTACTACAATTACTGGGTGCAGTTATCATAATAGGTCAGGAATCTTTGTTATGTGCAATTGAGTTGCTTGCGACTCATAGAAACCCTTTGAACAACAACCCTGAAACCTGCTCTATCCTGTGCCAACTTTACTGTCTCCGACCCGCCTACCCTCATTACGCCAGTCACTCTGTCAATCCATCTCATCAATGGTCTACCTCTCTTTCTCTGTCCATCCACCTTCTAAGCATGACATCCCTCTCCAAGGACCAGTCCCTCTTTGCAACATGCCCAAAGTATGTCAGATGAAGCCTCAGAATCCTTGACTCCAAGGAGCATTCCGGCTTCACCCTCTCCAGGATGAACCTGTTTGGTCTCCTGGCAGTCCACGGTATATCCAACACTCTTCTCCAGCACCACAGCTCAAAGGCATAACGATGTATATTATATGCTGTATCACTTAAATCCTAGTGATAATTTTTCATTGCCTTGAGACTGAAACCCAAACTCTTTACCAAGTCCTTTCAGGCCTTCTCGACCAGGTCTATCTTGTCACCTTCATCATTTGCCCATTCTTTCCAGCACTTGTGATCCAGTCCCACTTGTCATTGTATTGGTTTACTGGGAACATAGTTCAAATTTTATTACAGCGAATGATGTATTTATGAGCAAACGGATCTTTCTCTCTTTTTGACTCTGAATAACAAGAAGTCGACTGTATAAGTGACATGGCAGTTGTTATCACTGTCAACTTGTCAAAAAAAGGCAAGGAGCAGTTTTTGACTCATGGCAGTGAAGTGTTTGGAACACTGAGGATGTTGCTGTCTGCACAATTAGAGATCGTTTGAAAATTCTCAACAATGTGAACATGAAAATAAATCCAAATTTTAAATATTTCCAAAAAGTTTGTTTGTGTAGGCCAGTTTTCTTTCCATTCCCCCGTCACTGGTGTTTGTACAGCCCCTGAAATTGTTGAGAAGTGAAATTCTGTGCTTTTGACGGAAGGCTTCAATGCTTCTGCCATCTCTTTTTACTTTTTTTTTGGGGGGGACACTTTTAGCCATGTCCATTTTAGCATCTAATCGTGTAGAGCCTTCCCAGTGTCTTCTGAGTGAGGTCTCAGCCTATTTATGGAAACAGTGTGCTTGAGTTTAGATCTCTACAGTCTTAGTGGGTTCCTTTCAAAGAAGCAGAATCCTTAAAGAAAAATAGGGTGTGAAAACCTGTCAACTGTGCATGGAAATTCAAGCCATGACGTTCATGATGTGATCTTGTTGTACTAATATTTCAAGACAAGAAATAGCACCCACCATGGCTGTGGAGTCGAGTCTGACCCTGTAAGACCACCCGTAAGGTTTCTAAGGCTGTAATCAGAGCAGTGAACAGCCGCGTCTTTCTCCCAGAGAACACGTAGGAGTTCTTTTATTTTTATTATTTTTTTTTTCTTGTGTGCTGTCAAATCAGATCCGACTGGCAAAGGAAGAAATTGCCCCTCCTTTTCCAGCAGAGCATCTGGTAGATTCAAACCATGCTCCTTAGGGATTGCAGCACAGCTTCTTGCCACTAGGCCACCAGAGCTTCCTCTAGGAGTTCTGTTGCTTCCCTATTTGTTAGCACATTTAACCACTGTGCCTCCAGGACTTTTATAAAATAGTACATGAGATAGTTAATTCTGTTTTCTGTGGTTTGTTCTTTCTAGTTTGAATAAAATAATGGTAACATATATTCGTTCTACTGACTCCTGATTGAACAGGCCTGTTTCTCATGGAATTTTTACACAGTATGAAATGAGAGGTTATCACAAGTCAAACATGGATTCAGTGGCCAATGTTGATCTGTGTACTGTGTACATAATTTTCCCCCATAAGTTTTGATAGCCACAGTAATTGAATTCATTATGAAAATCAGGAGTTAACAAATAATTTAGACTTAAACAACACATGCTGTATCTATGGGCACCTCTGTCCATCACAGCTGCTGTTAAGGTAAGCAGAGTTTACCAAGAGGACGGTTTTCGAGTGTAATAACAGAAATACGTGTTCC